TGTTTGTTTGCCTGCATTTGAATTTCCTCAAGTTAAGAATATAAAGGTTAAGGTTAATTAGTCTTTCTATTAATTAATAGGGTAGTTGATATTTATTAAAGAAGTAATGAATTTATAATTTTATTTTAATAATAATTCTATTATATCTCAATTTTATACCTAATTTCAATTACAATAATTTCAATTATTTATATTAATAATTATTGTTATTCCCTTTTCACATTCATCTTACAAAGTTATCAAATTTTTAATCGAAATGTTCCAACATTTCCCAACCAAGGTTTAGCAAATGCCAAGTTCCCACCCTAGTTTCATAAATTTCATTTCCACCCTTAAAGTAATACCGTTGCTTAATTTTAACTTTTACTATAGTGCGGGTGCGTTAGTAAACTATCAGTGATCGATGCTTTTTTGGCTCACGTTAGCAAGAAGCAGATCATGTTAGCATCGCCCAAACTGCAATTTTTGGTTTTTTTCGATCGATCCCGAACTCTAAAATAATTTTAGACCAATGTTAGACTCTCCACAATCCCTCTACAAAAATCATACCCCCACTTGCCGTCATCACTACATTTTAGCCACCCCACACTTGCCACCTTGTGATTTTGGGTATCTTTTCTATCATTTTTGTTTCGATCAAAGAGCAACCAGTGTCATCAGACTACACCAAGAAACTCTTCTTATGTTTTAGTTTGTGTGGGCATGCTTTTTGGGTCTTTGTCTTTCTGTTTGCCGGAAATTGAAGGCCAAAGTCAGGGCCGCCACCTGCTTGATAAAGGCTTGAGTCATTTTCCAGATTCCACATAGTTGAACAGTCATTGACGGTGTTTAATTTAGGGTGGAAATCTAGAATAAATGAAACTTAGGGAGGGAGGCTTCTATGTCCCTAAATCTTGGTGGGAACACGTTTACTCAATTTCATATTTTAAACTCATCTTCAAACTTCATCAAACACAATCGTTTTCATTAACCAACCAATAAAAATTTCATGGATCTTTAAAAATAGCAATAAAATAAAATAAATAAATAATGAAAAGATAGAACATTTGTCTGCGTGGGGGCTGCGGTGGCCACCGCCGTCGCAGATTTGACCGCCGCGTGGGGACTTATCCGGCTAAATGTGGCCGACGCTAAGGGCCCCGTATTTCTCAGTTTGGGTATGTGCGTATTTTGCTACATCTCAGGATATCTAAGTGGTAATTTGCCTGCACAGGTTTGTCAGACCATAGAGAAGAGTGGGTAAATCCATGGATGATCTCTTCATGGATTTTGTCCAAAAACCGTTGGCCACAATCAGTGATTCCTCCAACTATAATGGTTGTATGAGCTATTGAAATAGTTAGTACATTATGGGGTTTTCATCTTTAAGCTATGCAGATTGCACAAGTCCACCGTGCCAAGCTAAGTGATGGGCAGGATGTGGTTGTCAAAGTTCAACATCAGGGCATCAAGAAAATACTTGGAGGTTTACATACTTTTTTTAGTATTTGATGCAAGAAAATCCTGGAGTGATTTAACGGTTATTGAGTATGCTATAATTTTATAGGACTAAAGGATGCAAAATCGGTATTGACTGGATAGCTTGGGCAGAACGTTATATGTTTCAATCCAGTTTTGGACGAATGGTGCCGAGAAGCTCCGAAAGAACTTGACTTCAATCTTGAAGCTGGTATGATAAGTTTTTACTGTTCTTATAGTTGTATTCTGTTCCTATTGCGGGAATGTGAAATGTGATACGCACGTGAGTTTGATAAGGTAATTGGTTTGTGGTGGAATTTGAAATGACCGGAAAAAAAGTCACAGATTTTGCATTCCGTAGTATGATAAGCTTTAATTTCCGAACTTATTTTTCTCATTGATGTTTGTTTTGTGTTTGCAGAAAATACTAGAACTGTGTTAGAAATCTTGGCTGCAAAAACAGGGCGAAGACAGCAGGCCTGCCAATAAAGTGGATGTTCTTGTTCCGGAAGTTATTCAGGCCTGCTTTTAACTATTATTTTAAACTTTATGTGCTTAGTTTGCAATCTTGAGTTAGGTTACTCGTGATATGTTTAAATTTGAAGGATGGGAAGTTTGGAATATTTTATTGTTACTCGTGTTTTATCATAAGTTATCAGAGAAATCTAAGTGAATATCTAGTGAAACAGGAAATTTTGTGCCGAAGAAACAAGTTCAAGTTTATTACTCGATATGAAACCCTTATATTTCAGGATACTCTTTTAACAAATGGGCTAATCTTTTGGCTATAACTGTTAGATTTGTCAATGTAAGCACTTCCCTGGATCTGATATGTTGTATATATGTCCTCCTCCTTGGTCGTTATGTAATGGGGAAGGAGTGCCCCCCTTTTGTTTTTTTTTTTTTTTTTAAAGTTTGGATTGGTAGGTTTACCAAATGTTACTAAGCTAGACTTTGATCTACTGTTTGCCTTGGAAATTGACTTTCTTAGAATAGAGAAAACTGCCTTTTTGATTTCAAATAACAAAATTTGCATTTTTTTTTTCAAATTGACAGTCAACTGAAGCTGTCCTGATTTTAGAGTATATGGATGGGATACGTATAAATGACTCTGATCTCTGGAAGCTTTTGGTGTTGACAAGCAAAAGATTGTAGATGAAATTATACGTGCATTTGCCCATCAAATTTATGTTGATGGATTTTTCAATGGTGACCCTCATCCTGGTACTTGTTCTTACTCATTTCTTCTTTTTATCCTTGTTGTCTTGAAAATTTGTTTGGCCTTCGAAACAAGCCATAATACTAGGTTACAATAAAAGATGGTTTTTTTCTTGATAACAAATATGCTGCTTGTGCAACAATCAATTCCCTCTTTCTATTCCAATGTTCTTGGGTGTTTAATGCAGGAAATTTCCTTGTAGCAAGGAGGCTCCTCATCGTCCAATTTTGCTCGACTTTGGGCTCACAAGAAAACTATCAAACTCTGTGAAACAAGCACTAGCAAAAATGTTGTTGGCAGCTGCAGAGGTTTGGGTTAACTTTTGTTATCTTTTCATCATGAATAAATATTTTACAGAATTGTAGAAATTAGAAGAATTATCTGTGACTCAATGTCTTGATTGTGTAAGTGTCTGAGTTAATGTCTCGAGCATGAGAGAGCTGTGCCTGTTTCTACTTGGGCAGTAATCTTTTACTTTCTCTAGCCAAATTATTTTGATTAAAGCTAAGGCATCTCTTATTATTTATGTACTTAGCTTGTTAAGTATTCATCGTAATGTTACTAGCTTGATTTAATAGGGGAGTTCTTTTTTCAGAACTGTAACTATCAGTCTGTAGTGTTTGATTGGTTTTCCTCTGGTTGAGCTTAAATACTATTGTTAATTTTCTTATCATAAGCTTGAGCTTTTGAGAGAAGTGGTTGCTTAACATGCGTCAGAGTCAAGTTGACAAAATGGCCTTTTGTTGAAAACTATGATAAGTTGTGTTTTGATTGTGTATGCTCCATAATAAGGGTGAAACAAGCCGAGCCAAGCCGAGCAGAGTATATGGCCGCTTGAGCTCGGTCGGCTGCTAAAGTGTTGAACTCGAGCTCGGCCAAGAAAAGGTGAGCTTGAGCTTGGTTCGGGCTCGGGTCAAATAACACCTACTCGAGCTTGAGCCAAGATATTCCATCAAGCCACCATCTCCCAGCCACCGTCATCGTGTCCCACCATCTCCCAGCCACCATCCAACATCTCCCTCCACCTAAAATCTAGCATAACTCACAACAAAAGCCACCATAAAACCATTCTAAAACCATCATAAACTCAAAACTCACCACATTGTCGAGCAGAAACTGGCCGCTGGCATGTCACATGTGGGCAGTCAGATCTAGCCAGCCACAGGGCTACACGTTGACTAGATTTGGCCGGCATTGTAGCCACATGGCCATCCATATTTGGCCACCTTTATGGCCTTAGTCAGACATGGCAGCCATGGTAAACCAAGAAAAAAATGAAAGAGAGAGAAAAGTGAGAGAAGAAAGAATAGGGGGAGAGAAAATAAAAGAAAGAAAGGAAGAGGGAATAAAAAAAAAGAAAGGAAGATAATAGAATGAGGAGCAAAACTGGAGAAGATGAAAAAAGAAAAGACGAAGAAGAAGAAGAAGAGATGAGTGAAGAAGAGGGGTAAAAGAGAGAAAGAAGAGATAAGGGGAAAATAGTTATAATATGTCGAGCTCGGTTCGGTCACGAGCTTGTTGATGAGTACTGGCTGTGTTCGAATTCGCCTCGACACTATAGCGCGAGCGGCTCGGCTCGGCAACACCCCTACTCTTATGCAAGTGCAGGAAGGGGGATGGTACAACTTAAATACAATTGTCTGACCTTTACCTAAAAGCTTAATCTTTTAGGTAAGTGATTCTTAACAACCTTGTTTTGAATTCGATTTCTACCCTTTTATTTATGTTTATCTACTTCTAGTTCGACATCTCTTTAAATTGTTTCTCTTTCCAGATTAAGAAATAATTATTTTTGTCTTTGTCAAAGGGGGACACCGTAGCTCTTTTGTCTGCCATGGCAGAAATGGGACTTACGCTACGTCTGACTTGCCCGAGCAGGCTATGGAAGCTATAACTTTTTCTTCGTGATTCCACACCAGCAGATAAAGCTTTCGTAGGTTTACTGTCAGATTGTTTTCTCATCTTACATTTCTTTAGAGCTAATGTCCCTGTGTACAGGATATCAGGAAAAATATGTTGATCAAAAGGAAAAAGCATGAAGCTTATACAGGAAAAGATGAAATTTAGCCAAAAAGAAATTAAACGTTTTAATCCTGTAAGGCCATATCGTCTCCTATTCTCTATGTCTGTCTGAGACACATTTAAAATTTCATTTATATTCTAACATTGTTACACACTTTTGTTCCAGTTCGATGCCTTTCCTGGTGATTTTGTAATGTTCTCAAAAGTCCTTACTCTCCTTAGAGGTATGGTATAGAGACCTCCATTCTTTACCTTGTGTAAACCAACTGTCCATTTTTATCTCATTATCTAACATTTTCAGGGCTTTCGTCCATGATGAAAGTTCGTACGGTCTATCTGGATATTTTGAGACCATTTGCCGAATCTGTTTTAGAAGGGTCGGTCCATTGTAACCTTGATCTTTTGTTTCATTGCTTTTGTTACTAGCTCATATCTGACTACAATGTGATTTAACTTATTAGAAACAAGAACAAGGGACCAGCAGAAAATCCCCAGTGGATATACGATACTCCAATCCATTCTGAAGTGGAAGCCAAGCTGAGGGAATTTTTAGTTCAGCTGGGGAATGAGGACAGAATACTTGGAATTCAGGTCTGCACCAATTTTAGTTCAGTATCTTTCCAGTTATGTCATTTTAATAGCTTGTCATATTTTTTTCGTTACTTTTTGTTTCTTTCCCTTCTACCTCTGAAGCTGTTAGTTTTCCATGCTATGGGTGTTGTAGCAGTCTCAGTCAATGGGGAACTAGTTGATTGAGCTTATTGATTTTGTTAGAAGCCTTCATTTTTTTTTTCCATTATGTTGGAGGTAACCAGTTATTAGATAGAAAAATATATCTGCAAATTTATTGGATTGGAGACAGATTATTGAGCTACTTATATTTAATATATGATGGACTTGGTTACCTGGTATTTCTGTAACTGCAGCATCACCCTTAAATTATGTTATCAAAAGTTCATCCTTGTAGACAATCTCCCAAACAAATCTTGTATGTTTTAGATGGCTTCTACTAATGATATTGCTTTTTGCAAGCACATTGCAACCTCCTTATTAATGCCTGAACTTATACAACTTAAATAGTACACCTTTGGATTTATGAAACCTAAGATCATTACAATATTTTGGTCTCAAAGATCTTGCTAACTATCAATTATTATAGGATAATCCTGTTTAGATTTTTCCACATTTCTTTTTGAAAACTGTACATTGCATTTACTCCACTAAGTAAATATACGAATTTCATCAGAATGGTGATTAATCTTCTGACGTGGAAGTCAGGGTTTCACAAAGTTTGACCTATGCTTGACATTAAATGAGGAAAGTAATTTTCTGCACCAAATGGGACAATTGTCATTTTCATACCATAGACAATCACTTTATCAAACTTTGAGGATCTGTCTCTTGCTAGAATATCCCAAGCAATTAGACCACAAAATTGAAACTCGATACGACTTTAAAAATAACAATACATATTGTCTTTATATTTGGGGATTCCTTTAGGGCATTTATGTGGTTCATCCAAGACCGCTGAAAGTTTAGGTCTTTATTGACTGGCTAGTACAGCTAATCTCCAAGATCTTTAAATTCCTGAAAATTACCTTTATTGCTCCCAGGAGGTCAGTAACAATGGTTACTATCTGAGATTTACTTTTATTTAAGACATGGCCAACAAAAGCCTTTATCTACCACTCTAAGATTAAAGTGGAGAGTACTTAAAATAGTATGTTTATACTATTTTGATATTGAGTGAAAGTGTAATAGAATAGGTATTTTTAGTGAATTTTGAACACAGAGACGTATCGTGTCCAATAAATGAAATTAGGTGGGATCACAAAACGCAATTATTTTCTTCTAGTTTCTGCACCATTAGTTGGTTTATCTTAATTTTTTATTTAACTTTTAGCCTGAAATTCATATTAACAATTGTAGAATGATTAATAAGCTTATTTCTCTATTTTTGAATGCCAAAATATGAAAATGCAAAACTGTATATTCTTGACTTCTTATGAGATTTTAATTACTGATGTTTTAAGGTTTGTGTGTACAAAGATGGTGAGGTCATTATAGATACCGCTGCTGGAGTGCTTGGTAGATATGATCCTCGTCCTGTTCAGGTTGATAGTCTTTTTAGTGTTTCTTCGGTAACAAAGGGCATCACAGCAGGCATGGTACATTGGCTTGTTGACAATGGGTATGTTATTGTTCTCATGCTACTAAGCTTTATTTTCATAAATGTTCCTGCTTTGCTGTGCAAAAGTTCTATTTTGACTAGTTATATGTATGCCCGTTAATAGCTGTTCCCTGCAATTTAACAGGAAACTCATAAGTTTCTAATTTAGGTTGTTGAGGTCTGGCTAGACATTATTTGAGAAGTTTTATTACATTTTGAACAATGTATTATGCTGATGTTTTGGATGGTCTGCATCAACTGCATGTTGAAGGACACTGTCAAAATGAGCACTTAATTCATTATGATCCAGCAGAATTAAATTATGACATGGATAGAGATTTAGCTGCATGACATTTTTGGAAATTTTGGTCACTCCTCCCCCCCCCTCCCTTTTTTCTTTTACCTTTTCTGGAAATAAAGCAAATATATTTCATTTAGAATCATGGCATTTTATAACACAGTTGGACATGGCCCAAAATATTGTTCCCTTGACTCAGATATATTCCTCTTGTTATTGGAAGAAATGTAGAATTTTTTCCGTTAATTGGGTAAATGAAGAACAAATGACCTTGTAATATATTAATCGAGAACCTTTAAACTAATAATGTTGTGCATTTGTACTGTCATCAAACCTTGAGTTTCTTGTGACATACTTATCACTTTGGTTTCGTGTAAGAAATTAAAAACTAAAGAAAAAAAAATCAAAAGATTTGGCTACGAAAATGTCCCTACCGACCTTCCCTCTTGTTTTATTGATTGTTGTTACTCACAGTAACTCAATATTTCAAATATATTTGTGCATTTCATATCATTCTTCTTGCACAAAATAACAGAAATCATTATGTTAGAGGCACAAAGGTGTGAGAGACAAATAATACATTTTTACCCAGTGAAATAGTGGAGATTCAAAATTTCTTCATTCCTGTTTATAGAACATGTAATTCATATTTTGTGTTTTGGAGCTTCTTTCATTCTGTCCCAATGGTGTACTCTGAGATATTTACTTAGGTAGAGTTTAAAATCTTATGCCTTTAGTTCACTACATAATTATTCAATAATACCCCTGTAGTATTTAAGTAAGATTCACTCAATTTGTCAACGATCTGTAACTTAGCTGAAATGAGCTAATTTATCCATAAAGATTATTAGATTAATGGATACTTTGGTACCCAAGAGACCATTGTGTGAGCTAAGATGTCAATGTTTCTTTAACTGTTTGTGCAATTTAACAAATTGACGCATGTTGTCTTGTAGAAAACTCAAGCTTGAGGAGAATGTTGCTAAGATTTGGTCAGAATTTGGATCAAACGGAAAAGATATCATAAAGGTGTAAATCTTATCCCATAACCTTTTGAACACATCCTTTGGTTAGCCATAGTTTTTATGTCAGTAGCTCAATATAACTTGGTTTTTATTTTAGGTCCATCATGTGCTTAACCATAAAAGTGGTTTGCACAATGCTTTGGTTGATTTTGGAGCAGAAAATCCTATGGAAATTGCTGACTGGGATGAATGTTTGAGGCTGATTGCCATGTCAGAACCTGAACCTGAATGGGGCCAACAGCAAGTCTATCACCATACGTCTTTCGGCTGGCTGTGTGGTGGAATAATTGAGGTATTATAGCATATGCTAATGTTGCTTTCAATTGAATATAAGACTATAAGTTGTTGACTATGATTAAAGTATGAAGCTTTATGAACCCTGAAATCTGTAGATGACAAATATTTTGCCTATATTTATATGGTGCTGTGCCTAGGTATGCCAGGTTGATTGATTGTGAGTTTGATTTTTTTTGCTGGCCTTCAGACTGATCAAAGATTTGACTATATTCTCATATTCTCTATGTACTTCCCTATTCTAATATTTTGTTTGGATGAAACAGCATGCATCTGGGAAGAAATTTCAGGAGATACTTGAAGAAGCATTCATTCGACCGCTAAATATTGAAGGCGAGCTATATGTTGGAATTCCACCAGGTACTTGTCAAACTTCACTTTTTTAATCTTCTCATGTCACTTGGTACAGCAAATATAGGTCTACATGAATATGTACACACAATAATGTTCTATTAAAAAGAACAGATATTATGTAGTCTACTGTAACTATGAAACTGAAGTAGCTGTCATCAATGGCATTATCATGCCTTTCAAATGGCTACCCTCCAGGTGTGGAATCTCGACTTGCAACTCTTACAATAGATGAATATGATCTCAAAAAATACGCAGACAAATCTTATCATTCTGACCTACCCCCTGAGTTCCAGCTCAACAAAGTTGCAGAGCTCATCACCACCTTGCCGGTTTTCTTTAACATGCTGAACATTCGTCGTGCCATCTTACCTGCTACTAATGGACATTGCTCAGCCCGTGCAGTTGCACGCTACTATGCAGCCCTAGCTGATGGGGGAGCAATCCCACCCCCACATTCCTCTCTGTCCAAGCCAACGCTTGGTAGTCACACCCACATCCCCAAATTTCCTTCACAGAAGTCACAAAAGCCAAAAGGTAAGAAAAGCAAGGAGGTACCTGCTGCTTCAAAGGAAAACACAAACAGCAAAGGTAAAGATGCTAGTGTTGATGATTACACTCGACTCAGAAATCATGGTAGCAAGATTTTTAGTAACCCTAAAATCCATGATGCATTCTTGGGTGTGGGTGATTATGAGAATTTGACCTTTCCGAATGGGCCATTTGGACTGGGATTTAAGAGGTATAAAGCTGCAGATGGATCAATTATTGGTTATGGGCACTCAGGCATCGGTGGATCAACAGGTTTCTGTGACATAAAAAACAGGTTTGCTATCTCGGTGTCCTTGAATAAAATGTCATATGGTGCTACAACTGCAAAAATCATTGACTTAGTTTGTTCAGAGCTAGATATCCCACTGCCGGTTGAGTTTTTATTTGTTAAGGACTTTGAGAAGCCTCTCTTTAGCTGAAAATGAGTAATCTCATATCCCATTTGTATAAATTATATCCAAGTCAAATATTGGTTCCATAGAGGATGAATTACCAAACATTTCGTAAAGGAATTATATTGAACATGAGAAGGCACAGTGAGCTGTTTCTTTGCCATCTTTGTTTTGTTTATAGGGGGTGGCGATTCAGAATTTGATCATCTAGTGATGATATGTTGATAGATAGTACTTCATGCTCAAGCTTATGCATTTGTACAAAGTGAAGTGTTTTAAGATGATTTTATGTTTTTAAATTAAACAAGTTAAAGAAAAATTATGTCAAACATGGAGGTATATTTGTAGAGATAGTTTGTGTCAATAATTTATATATAACAATACTGTATATTGATATATTTTGACGACCTAAGTGGTGATTTCACCTCAAAAAAGAGATTAAATTTATCATTTATTTTTCAGATATACATATAATTTCATTGCAATTATATGTATATTTTAAAAAATGTGAACTTTTACTAATGAATTTTATTACTTCAAGAGTTCAATAAAAATAAAAAGTTGGGGAAAGTTGATTGAAACAATTAATTTTGAAAGTTTAGTGTAATGAATAGTTGATCAGTAATGTAAGAGAACCTTAGTATCATACTATGGTTCCAGTGCGAAAGTCTTCTAGAATATTAAAACCTCCAGAAAGATATGAGTTCCTACATGAGCAAGATTTTGAATCTTATTTAGCAGGAGTAGATGATCATAGTGATCATCCTAGAAGCTACGAAGAAGCAATACTGGATAGAGATTCAGGAAAATGGCTAGAAGCGATGGATTTTGAGATAGAATCAATGGATGCCAATTAAGTATGTTCACTTGTGGATCCACCCAAGTGAATAGTTTCTATAGGTTACAAATGGGTCTACAAGAGAAAAGTTGGCAAGGATGGGGAGGTAGAGACCTTCAAAGCTCGACTAGTAGCGAAAGGTTATACTCAAGAACAAGGATTGGATTATAAGGAAACCTTCTCGTCTGTAGCCATGATTAAATCCATTCGTATAATGCTAGTCATCGCAGCATACCATGATTATGAAATTTGGCAGATGGATGTCGAAATGACTTTCCTTAATGGGTTTATTGACGAAAACGTCTATATGGAACAACTGCTGAAAAACATAAGGTATGCAAATTGTATCGATTCATTTATGGATTGAAACAAGCTTCAAGAAGCTAAAACATTCGATTTGACGACATAATCAAATCGTTTGGTTTTTGCCAAGAATCCGGATGAGTCCTGTGTATACAAATGGGTTAAAGATCATGCCATCACGTTTCTCATATTATATGTAGATGACATACTTTTGATGGGAAATGACGTAGGCATGATGATAGAGGTTAAAGTCTGGTTATCCAAAACCTTTTCAATGAAAGGCTTAAGAGAAGCGACCTATGTCCATGGCATTCGTGTCTATAGAGATTGAACAAAACGGGTAATTGGATTATCCTAGAAATTGTACATAGAGAAAATGCTGAAAAGATTTAGCATGGAGAACTCTAAGAGAGGTCTCTTGCCTTTCACTCATGGTTTTCATCTTTCCAAAGAGATGGGTCCAAAGACCGATGAAGAGTGACAGCATATGCGTAATGTGCCTTATGCCTCTGCCGTAGGCAACTTAATGTACACAATGCTATGTACGAAACCTGATAAAGCTTATGTTGTAAGTGTTACAAGCAGATATCAGTAAAATCCAGGGGCGAAACATTGGTCAGTTGTAAAATTGACCCTTAAGTACTTAAGAAGAACTAAGGATCTAGTTCTGAGTTAGGGATGTTCAGAATTAAATGTTCAAGGATACTCAGATTCTGATTTCCAATCAGATATTGACGATAGAAAGTCTACGTTAGGTTATAAGGAATGGAGGTGTTGTTAGTTGGAAAAGTTCCAAACAGACAACTACAGCAGACTCCACTACAAAAGCTGAATACATTGCTATTTCAGAAGCAGCAAATGAGGTTGTTTAGATGAGAAAGTTCGCAATTAAACTTGGTGTGGTTCCGAACATGGCTTACCATGTTCTATGACAATACTAGAGCTATTGCACATGCAAAGGAACCAAGGGCACGCCAAAAATCCAAACACATTTAGTGCAAGTATCACATTTTGAGAGAATTCGTTGGAGCTGGAGAGATTATGATTCTGAAGACACCTTCAGTAGAAAATGTAGTTGATCCACTGACTAAGGCAATGACACTGAAGCAATTGGACCATCATCTTGAGAAAATGGGTATGAGATACAACATCGAATGGCTTTAGTGCAAGTGAGAGTTTGTTAGTGTATGTTAGTGTATGCCCTAGAAACCATTTGTGCTGTCGGTTTCAGAGTATTTTGTCTTGTATCAATATATCATAAATAATAGAAGAAGCTTTCTTCAATTCATATATATAAATTGCTTCCTTTATTCAGTCATGCATTTAAAATAAAATATGTATATGAATTGTCCAAATGATTCATTTAGTTGGTAAATAAATTTATCAAAAGGTTCCCTACGGAAGCAATATAATTTGGGCAACTATATTGCATAGTAGGGATACTGATGCTTCCCAAAGATATCATGAGTTAATACAAGTACGGATGACGACGATAGTCATGTCATTGGGGCATTAGTATGGATTAGTAGTTGGTGAACTATTTTTCGAACGTGACCAAATAACAACAAATCACTTGGAAAAGCATGTAGTCAATGATTTATCGTTTGATTATATCAGTACACGATGTAGTCCTTTGACCTGAGACATTGTGGTCGGATTCGATACGGATGTGTATGGTTCATACGGTGTATAAGTATAAGACTAGTCATGTTTCGTATGATAAAGCCTATTTGATCATGCGTTATTCATATGTGGAAACGAACGACGATCAAGAAGGGATCCATTGACTCGGAAATATAGGATCAGGAGTATCGCTAACTACATCCGGATTCAAGTTCCTAAAAGAACGTCAATAATGTCGAAAATTAGAATCTCTAGCCAAAGTCTATTATTAGTCATACGAAAGCAAGTTCGTGATGACAAGTTCCGGACATATTAATCGACGATTTGGTAGAAGATCGAGTTTAGGATTTTAACGTTCCATGAATCCATACTCGATTAGGATCTATCAATGGAGGAACTTCACCTGCATGGTACATATGATCTGAAAAGGGTTCGATGAAGTATTTCTTCATCGTGGTTTAGGGACTATGGCACATTGCTAGATGTTTACCATAGTCGTTGGGCCTCTGGACAGGTTTCCGGATTCATCCAGAACTGGCTCACGGCTAATCCACAGTGGACCTACATGGTCACACCAATAGCCTTGAGAAGTTAGAGAAGGATAAGAGAGAGAAATGATTATCCGAAGAGGGCTAGCACCTTCCAAGGGTAATGACAGGATTTCTATGGTAATAGTTACACAGAAAATTATTTTTGACACTTTAAAGGTTAAAAATGGTCAATCAATAATTAATTGTATTTATTATTATATCTTAAAGCGTTAAGATAAATGAGATGAACTAAAATAACCTTTTAATAGTTAAAGGGCAAAAGGGTAAACTTATGGGTTGTTAATGTAAACTAGTTTAGTTTACATGAGCCCTTGAATAATATTGATTATACAAAGGACAAATTAATCAATACTTTGGCTCTTTTTAAAATAAGATTTTATTGGGACATGCAAGTGAAAAACAAGTAATTACAAAATGACTCATCTATATATAAATGCAAATGGTTGCATTTTAGGTTAAGTGTTCATTATTCAATCAAAAGAAAAAAAACTCTCTCTTAGGTTCGGCCACTCTCTCCTTCTCTCAAGATGGTGTTAAAGTGTGGAGGGTTCATAGCTTTGAATCTTGGCTTCATCAAACCTAAGCTTTAAGAAGATGATATAACTTTAATTTATGCTTTATTTAAAGTTTTTGCCTGTTATAATCCATATCTTAGCTTGCATGTCTTGTTTACATGCTTTCCATCAATTTTCCCGCCACCTCTTCATGGTTTCTTCTTCAGTAATAAGTACAATGTCGAGTCTGCTTCCATTCACATTGCTTTAGCCATCCACTGAGAGAGTCACTTTGAAGACAACCTGCTATTTATGCCTAATAGCTCTTTTTTCGTCTGGACGATAGTGTTAGGAGTGAAATCAGCAATGAAGTCTGCCAACACTTGGAATTTGATGGCGGTGCATGGTTGGAAGGATATATCGCACTCACTAAGCTCTACTGTCTATTGGTGAGTTGACTTAATAAGTGTGGCTTATGAAGTATCTTCTTGAGTGGGATGGAGATGAGGACGACTAAAGAGTGGCATTGAAAATATGGTTTGAGCTTCCTAGATGCATGGATGAGGGCGAGTACCAATTTTTCTAGCTGGCTATATCATGTCTCGGCATCAAGGAGTGATTTACTTACATAGTAAACGGGTAGCTGCTTCACATTGTCTTCTCGAACTAACACTGCTGAGATGGCGGTCTCCGAGACTACCAGATAGGTGTAGAGTTTTTCCCCAATCACGAGTTTAGAAAGAAGTGGGAGAGAGGTTAGGTACCTCTTTAGTTGCTACAGGGCCTCCTCACAGGTGGGGGTCTACTCAAACTTCTTGGATTTCCTGAGTGCGGTGAAGAAGAGGTGACACTTGTCAGCAGATCTGGAGATGAAACAGCTTAAAGCAGCCACACACCCCACAAGGTGTTGGACATCTTTGATGAAGTTGGTGATGGTATGTTCAAACCACCTAGATTTGGTCAAGACTGACTTCTATCCCATGCTAAGTCACCATGTACCCTAAGAATTTTCCTGGCGAGACCCCGAACGAACACTAGCTAGGTTTAGCTTCATATTGTATTTCCTTAAGATAGCAAATACTTGGCTGAAGTGGTTGAGGTGCTGCTCGACCATAAGGGACTTGATGAGCATGTCGTCAATGTATATTTCCATGATGTCTCCAGGGTGTTCGACAAACATTCTGTTGACCAGCCGCTGGTAGGTGGCCTTGGTGTTCTTAAGACCAAAACGCATTACTTGTAGCAATAGGTTCCCCTCTCTGTGATGAAAGACCGCTGGTTAGGATTGGCACTCCAGGTATATGCCTCATCATTGTCTCTATGTCGGCCAATCTTTTGGCCAATATTTGTTCCATGGGTGAGGCGAACGCCACCCAGTCGGCTTGGTTTGTCATATGACTTGCACTTGGCATGTTTCATTGGGTCAAGTCATGTGGGGTAGTTTGGTAAATCGTTCCATCGTGTGCCGCTTTGTAATTTGGATCTCTATTCATTCCCTCAGGTTGGATGGTTCCCACTGTGACTGATTGGGTGTGTCGACCTGCATGGATGATGAGAGGGGTTATTTGGGTGTCACTCGATCCATGGGGATGGATGGACTCGTGCAGGGTGGACTGCAGGTGAGGGAGTCCACTCAACCCGCGAGGGTGAGTCGGGCCGAGTAGGTTTTGGGTAGAAGTGATTGGTTGGAGGTGAGGCGAGATGGTGACAGTGGGTGGTTCCTGTTGTGGTAGACTTTGTGCTACTTGGATGCCTTGATCTTGTGCCTAAGGTGGGTTAGCCGAGTGCGGCTCTGTTTGTTATCCCAATTCAGTTGGACTTTGGGCTGGGCCACCTACTAGTTTTGAATGGAGTTGACGCGATTGAGTATTCGGAGTGGCCAATCTGTTATCCAGAGTCTGGAGAGATTGCATGGATGGAATTGATGCGCAGAAACTATTGGGTTGTATCTAGCAAGGCTTAAGCTCAAAGTCATAAAATTGACTCACCTTTTCTTTCAGGGATTGGGTTTCAACCCGAATGGAGGTGTTTTTGGTCGGGATGGCAGCGTTCTTGACTTCCAGTGCTGCCACCTTGTCTAAGTGTTGTTGCATAAGGGTAGTTAGAGCTTCGAGTCTAGCCTCGAAAACAGGATTGGTGTTATCTGAATTTTCAGCCATAGGGAGTTTCCTTAGGAAGCAAGGTTTGAAAGACGAATGATTGTCAGAAGCCCCATGGTGGGCGTTAAACTGTAGATGCAAAAAATCTACCGTTACGGAAATAGGGTCTAATCTGTGAGGTTGAGGCCACCCCCAATCTGCTGTATCTGAGTACACAAGAAAACAAGTGTGAAGCTTACGGAATGCACTGGGGTGGTGTTTGCTCAAGTCAGTAAGGCTGGGTGAGGCTAATTTAGAGAGGGTTAGGGAAAGAGAATGTTACCAGAAAGTTAGTCAAAGACAAAGGCAACGATAGCGAAGTAAAGCTCTCGAGAGTAAGAAGTACAGGGTTAGAAGGCGTAATGTTCCGTGCGAGTAAGAGGGTTGGCCTCTTGTTTAAATAGTAGTTGTAAGATCTTCAAGTCCTAGTAGGACTGTGAGTCCTTGGGAGTTGAGGTTTATTAAAGAAGGAGAGCCTTTGACTCCCTTACCTTAGTGGGAAAGGGAGTCCCAGCGGGTCTAAGATATGGATCTTAGACGAATTAGGATAATAGTGTATCTCTTCGATAGAGTTCGGATAGTGCCGAAGTAAGTAGGCAACCCTGGGCTCCAAGTAGACCCAAAGTCCAGTAGGTGGTCTAGGATCAATGGGCCTGGACCCAGGCAAGTTGATGATGAGGTCCAAACTAATCGGAGCCTTTTATTGATTGGGCTTAAGTAGTGATCAACATGGCAAGTGTAATGAGCAGGCCTAATGTGCGAACTCTATTGCTAGCCCAATCAGAATTGGGCTATGGCTCCGAGCTTTGTTGAAAGTGTCTTCGTCTTTGAGCCTATTTGGGCCGAAGACATTTTTTGGCCCTAACACTCAACAAACATTTTACTCATTAAATTTTTGTGTATGTGTTTATATATATATAAACCTTTACTGTATCTTCATGTTCATTATTTTCTTCTATCCTATTCTTAACATTGGAATAAATTGCTTATTGTCATGCTCGTTCTGGTTACCTATTTTTTCATACATCAATCGATATCTTATCAAGCTTATTAAAATTAGCCGTGTCATTACCAGATATCATGGTTTGTAATGAGATAATAAATAAATAAATAAACTTGGATGTAGAATTGAAAGCCAAAAGTCTGAAGTTGACAAATTAGATTTTGAAAGAGTTAATTGAAATTTCTCTCTTGAAGTATCATATATGAGATTATATTTTACCTTTAGTCTGTTAAATTGAACATCAAAATCTTAATAGAATAATACTACTCACAAAAATTAAATTATTATTTTAAATATCTGAGCAGAAAATGTTATTTAATGATTTAAAAAAAAAAATTATATACTCTTACTCTTTTTTCACATGTTTCCCATTTGCTGTTGAAATACATGAGCACATAACCAACATAATCATATCACTAATTTTGACCTAATATAGGATTAATGATTCTTTGATGGAGTATAATTTAGGTTTAATTATTGATAATACATAGTATAAGACATTAAAATAAGTATAATTAATTTAGGTTTAATTATTGATAATATATAGTATAAGACGTTAAAATAACAATATAATTTTACAACACAGCAGTCTTTGTCTGCCACTAGACTTATATTTATTATAGCTCCAACTCCTTAAATTCTATGGGTGTCTAGAGCGAAGTAAAGATTAAAATATTTAAGAAAAACTGATTCCCAGATCCAGTCCAATAAAAGGGTGGCATCAGGATATCTTTTAATAAAGATGATTTTACTGTCTAATGAATAGAATAAAGTTCATTTATCTTACCAGGTTTAAACACAAATTCCCTTTGATTTGAAAAATAGGTCAGGATCTCCCTTCTAAAGTAAGCTTCTAAGAAGTATCATATATACTGCTAGATTATCACATCCTCTATTTCAATTTATTCTAACTTCCACATAGTCGATTTTATTACATAACATTTTTTCATATAAAAATAGTTTCTACATATAGTATTTATTCATTTATCAAACCAGAAAATAATTTCATTGACGCGATTCTCTTTATCAAAAGGAGAATTGTAGCCAGCAATCGTATAAGTCATTGCATTCCCATTACTTTTCTTGACAATTGATGATTCCCATTTTGTACCATTGAGACTTTTCTCCAATGCCAAAACTTGAAGAGGGATTTCATTGTCAGAAATGAAGCCACCAAATCTTCTCACGGCTGCATAATTTTGTTTGGGAAGCTCCACAGGGTGAGCTAGGGTTGAAGGAGGAGGATTTTTCTGATAATTGTTGGGAAGCAAGAAGTTTACAACAAATGTTGAGTTGGAGAGAGGGTCTTTTGATGGAATTATACCAACAAAAACTGGCGCTGTCATGTTGAGTTGTGCTGCTTCCTCATTGTTGCCTTGTATGTATGAGAACAAGCTGATCATAATAAGAAAGATAAACCATTTAGTTAATTCTATGGTTTAGTTTATAAAATAATGATAACCTGATTTAGTTTAGTATACAAAGTTTGTATCTCAAACTGATTTAGTCTTTACATCGACTCTTAAGTTGGCGTCTAGACACATTGTCCCGAATAATGATGGCCAACCAAAATACTAGCACCTTATTTTACGCCAATGAAGGTTCGCCTCAATGTAAAACTTTTGTTTTCCAATTTTGGTTCTACATCGGGGTAAGATATAATTTTAGTAGCATTTTATTACATTACTGTGTCATAAATATATTGTTGTCACATTAATATCTCATTACTTTGAAATTTCAACCGGGTACATGTTGGAGAATATAATCACTCTAAAATATGAATATAAATATATATATTAAAGTGTAAATCAAAGACAAACTATTAATCCTTTGAAAATCTGCATAGAAACTTAAAAGGTGAAGATTTCTGTTTTTCTAACCATAAGTAATTTTTATACTTGTAATTATGAAATATTAATTTGTTTTTATAAGCGTTGAAAAAAAAAAAAAAAAAAAAAAGATTTCGATTTTCAGTCCGATAAATGCTTATTAGTGGGTTAAAAAATGATTAGTCCTTGAAACTTTTAAAAAAGCAACATTGACTTTAGCCTTAGAAGACTAAGTTAAGAGGATTGTGTGGTTACTTTCACAATTAATAAGATACAATCAAAGCTTGAATAAATTTAAAGTAAACTTAAACTTTAATTAATTCCATAAAACCTTAAACAAAAATAAAAAATTTAAAGAGTAGAAAGAGAGAGACTTACATGTTAAAGCCCTTGTAAGCTCCATCTTCATATGAACTAGAATTGATAGGAAGAGCAGAAACCCACATAGCTTTTTTATATTCTCTGATTTCGTACTCCTTTTGGCTGTCAATAACCTCATAGGAAGCACACTCAACCTTCTTACAATTCAATGGCATCTCATATCCCTTCTCTTCACTTGCCCTAATTGAAATACCCATTGACATACACACAATCACCACCAAAACAAACAAACCAATCCAACCCATTTTGATCGAAAGTTGCCTTAAAAAAAAAAATAAAAAAAAATTAATAACCCTTAATTACAGTTGGATTAATACTATTATACTAATGGAAATGCTAATTTATCGATATGATAACTTAACAACTCTTTAGTACTCTTGTTATGTTAAATTTGGAAAATTGATATAAGAGAGCCTGGAAGGCTATTTGTGGTGGGAATTCTCTTGCTTTCATCTTTATTTTAGTGGCAAAATGAATTGCAACGTTGCATGTGCTTTCTTGCACTTTCTCCTTTTAATCTTTTTGACTAATTAACGTTGAGAGAAAGAGAAATATTAATTGACCCATTGATCATTTCTACTCATTCCTTTACCATATGTGAGAAAATAAAGAATAATGGTTTGTTGGTCCCTAGCCTGTGCAATATTCTAAGAAAAATATTATCCTTACAAAGACCTATACAAAGAATGTTACAAAGTGACATCATCCAAAAGAAAAAAACAAAGAAAAAACGGAAAAAGAGAGAGAGAGAGAGAAATCATGAAAATCAAGAGTGGAGATTGTCTTTGTATGCCCCATTTATATGTGTCTTTGTAAAACTAGTATTGCTCATATTCTAATTAGGTTTACTTATAGCCTTAAAATACTACTTTGATGAGATCCAATCTGGGGTATATTTGTAATTATTGTTGCCACAAAGGTGGTCCTAGAGATATCAAAAGGAGAGCAAAAGTATGACCCGACCCGACGCAAGTCCATGCTAATGGGCGGTGTATACGGCCTACGAATAGAATCCAATGGGCCCATCAAACAAGCTAGGTTTTGTAGGAAGGTCAATTCTAAAAGATGACAATAAATTGCCTTGATCTATAAGTAGGATTATTTAAATCCCATTTATTTTTTGCATTTAAATTAGGATGGAAATTGTAAGATTTTATAACCATTATCAACAATAACTCTAAAATTATTAAAATCAAAGGGATATTTGCAGAAAACCCCCATATGTTTGCTGCTTTGGACATTTTTGGAAATACTGACCATTAGGTTAACATTTTATATGTGAAGGGAAAACCAGTAATTCACACAAGGCATAAAAATATTTTGGATTTAAATAATAATTTAATAAAAAAAAAAAAAAGAATATTTACTACTTAGCACCGAAAAATAATTCCATTTCCATTAATTTGTCCACTTAATGAGCGATTAGCTCAAAGTAATGAGTGCTTATTTGTATGAGGTAACCACCTAAGTAGTGAGTGGTCACATACATGACAGTCATTGAAGGTTGGGCAAGTGTCCAACTATGAGTAAATTTTTCCATATTAACCTCAAATGTTAGGCTGTTGGGTTAATCATTTCGCCTTGAGCTTGAAATTGAAGCTGACCCGTGACCCATTCCCTAGCTTATCTAGCCTACTTTCGCCGCCATAGGACCCATTTGACCTATTTTCTTAGAATAGTGTTATTTAAGCCCCACTTTGAAGCCCTATATTCATTAAAAATATATATATTTAAAGAGATTTTAAATTATTCCAAAATTCTTCTCTTTAATCTTTTAACCTATTCTTTTCTTTTTAATCAGTGTGAAAACAGAAAACAAATAATAAGACTTCATTAAAAATAAATCATCATCATACTTTATTCTTATCTTTTTTTCTGTTGTGATTACTTTTTGAAAAGCAAATGAAATTTTACTCAAATAAATAGTTGTTTTAGATGCAAACGTAAAAACCCATAAAAGAAAACAAAACCGGTAATTTGAAATGGTTTACTTAAACCAAAAGTTTTAAACAAAGGAGATCAAACTAGAGGTAAAAGATTTTGGTAGAGTTTCTTAAAAATTCTATAAAGTTTACGTAATTTTTAAAATATTTATATTTTTATCTTAGAATTCTATTATGTTTAAAAGTTTCAAAAACTGAAAAAACGTGGTCAGAGTTATTTATATGAATAGTAATGATAATCCCAATTTATATAATAATTTTGCATTAGATTTTAATAGGATTTAGAGTACTATTCATTCATTTTGGGGTGAAATGGGTACTTAATTCACTTTGTTTTTATTTGCAGGCTTATATATTGATTTGGAGCGGAAACAACAATTTTGAACTTGTCAATCTCCGGGTGGCTTGAATTCTAAAGAACTAGAGAGTCGGAGCTAATTTGATACATTTGGAATAAAGACTTGGTCATATTCTAGCAAGAAGACATGAATTTTCGCAATGAAGTTGATCTTGTATTGAATCTCCCTTTTGTCCTTTACTTGATCTTATGAGCCCTGTAACTCCTCCTAAATCAAAAGTTATGATTGTTTTAAGTAGGCATGCTCGTGTTTGGGCTCCTGACACTTGACCCTCTCTAGAAATTCATTTACTAGACATTTTACACCAATAAGGAATTCCAAAGATCTCTTCTCTTTATACGACCATTTGCCACATAAACAACTGAACATAAAAAAGAACCTCCCCCATTAATTAGCCTAACATCACATAACACACTTTGATCTATCATCCCAACCACACAAACATTGACCACATCCGGATCCCGCCCAATCACAATATGAAAACCTCTACTCCCACACTCCACATTAGACACCCAATGCCATCTTCGGACACCCCATTAAAAACACACTCACAATTAGCTCTAGCCACTCTAGTTTCCAGAACAGCACACATAACAGTATTCTTCTCTTCCAAAAAAATATGCATTTCCTTCTGCTTACTATTATGATTTACATGATAAATAAACATTATTACAAAGAGTCAATATTACAAAATTGACTATCTCTAAGGCACCTACTCTAACATTAATAATTCAAATGATGTGATTAGATATAATTGGTAAGGGCATTCTAGTAAACTTAATGTGCGTATTCTGTGGGCCGAGCGTTGGGACAATGGTTGTCTTGACCGCGACCTATCCTTGGGGTTGGGTCCTAAAACCGTACCCAGGCTCGTGCCCATCCCCGCGATCAGTAGTGAATGCCTAGCCCATACAAGCTAGGTCGGGTTGGGTACCTAAAAATCCGGGTACAATTGTCATCTCTAATAGCCACTGGAGCTCTTACCCGACTGGTAATTCTCGGGTTTCAAATGATTAGTTAAGGTGCATGTAAGTTGACCCGAATATCCTCAATCATCAGAAAAAAAAAAAAAAAAAAAAAAGACAGGAAAGGGAAAGATATAGGGAGTAAGGGAATTCGACAATATCAAGTTGTAATTAGCTAATTATTAAAATTATCTCGTCAAAATAAATGTTCTTTAATGAGTAAACATGAGAATCGTTTTCACTCCCTATTCAATCAATACACTTACATAACTTTCAGATTGTTCTCTTATTTTCTCTCCACATGATATTTTTTTTTTTTTTTTTTTTTGTGCAAGCAATTTGAATTAACGAATACTTGAGAAATAAAAACTGCCCCAATCATCTACATGTCAATAAATAAGAGACATGTTAAAGAGAAATTATAAAGCACAAAAAATGGAAAAATCTTTTATACAATATTATTAATATTAAATGCAAAAATTATCCTTCTGGATTCTATGATTTATTATCAATTCAAATACTTGCCATTCCTAATTTGGGACTCATTCAATTCTATAAATTCAAAATTCTTCATCCATTCAATTTTAAAAATCAGGAGGCATTTATGAATCTCGTTTGAAAAAAAAAAA